TTATTTTACCTTTATTTAATACCCCCTATTTTTTATAAATTAAAATTCCCATGAATGTTTATTCCCACCCCCCCACCCGACTCAATATCCCCCCCCCCCCCCCCCCCCCCCCTTCTCTCTTCAGAAAATAAAGCAAAAACCACTAACACAACCCAGACCTTCACAATCGGCCGCGGCAACGACATCGTCTGCGCCGCAATATCCCACCTAGCCGAGCGCATCAAAAACCGCACCCTCTCAAGCCTAGTCTCCAACTGGGGCCAGACCTGGCGCCACCTAGTCAACGACTCCCAACTGCGCTGGATCGGCCCCGAGAAAGGCGTCATCCACCTCGCCCTCGGCGCCGTCGTCAACGCCGTCTGGGACCTGTGGGCCAAGACCCTCGGCAAGCCCGTCTGGCGCGTCGTCGCCGAAATGACCCCCGAAGAAGTCGTCCGGTGCATCGACTTCCGATACATCACGGACGCGATCACGCCCGCGGAGGCGCTGGCCCTACTAACGAAAGCCCAAGACGGCAAAGACGCGCGGTTTGCAGACGCGCTGGAGAGCCGCGCCGTCCCCGCGTATACCACCAGCGCGGGCTGGCTAGGCTACGGCGAAGACAAGATGCGCGCATTACTCCGCGAGACCCTCGCGAACGGGTACAAGCACTTCAAGCTCAAGGTCGGCGGGCCCGTCGACCAGGACAAGCGCCGCCTGGCCATCGCGCGCGACATCATCGGGTACGACCGGGGCAACGTGCTCATGGTCGACGCGAACCAGATCTGGAGCGTGCCCGACGCCATCGCCCACATGAAGCAGCTCGCCGAGTACAAGCCGTGGTTCATCGAGGAGCCCACGTCGCCCGACGACATACTCGGCCACAAAGCGGTGCGCGACGCCCTCCGTCCGTACGGCATCGGGGTCGCCACGGGCGAGATGTGCCAGAACCGCGTCGTTTTCAAGCAACTTCTCGCGAGCGGCGCCATCGACGTGTGCCAGATCGACGCGTGCCGTCTCGGCGGCGTCAACGAGGTTTTAGCCGTGCTGCTCATGGCGGCGAAATTCGGGGTCCCGGTAGTTCCGCACTCGGGGGGCGTGGGACTGCCGGAGTACACGCAGCATCTGAGCACGATCGACTACGTGGTCGTTAGCGGGAAGCGCTCTGTGCTGGAGTACGTGGACCATTTGCACGAGCACTTCCTGCATCCGTCCGCGGTGAAGGACGGGTACTACCAGACGCCGACGGAGCCGGGGTACAGCGTGGAGATGAAGGCGGAGAGTATGGATCGGTTTAGTTACCCGGGCGAGGAGGGGGTTAGCTGGTGGAGGACTGAGGAGGCTCGGCCGATTTTGGAGGGGGAGAAGATATAGATTTTGAAAGGGGTAAGGCCGCTTGAATGTGTTGGAAAGGAATTGGGTGGGAAAAGGGGCTACGTATTTGATAACTATGGCGGAGCATTAAATAGGTAGGCATCGTGGTACTGCGATATACTCTGCATCTAAAACGGCCATATATCAAAATCTAAGTAGAGAAAACAATGGCATACTTTGAATTCCACCAGACAACAGTGCATACTAAATTCGAAGACAGATATTTACGAACTCTTCGTGGCATGAATCCAGTTCAGGATGAGATACCTCGGTAGTAATGATATGCAGAATCTAGCTAGAGAGGAGACACAGTAAAGGCGTCCGAGTGGTCTCAGTTAATGTACAAATATGATACTATTTAACCTCGTTCGGGTTAAGTTAGTCTATAAATTTGCCATACTCACAATAACCCGTACATTACTTCATTTTTGGGGTTGGGCAGCTTCTACATCCAACTACAACATACCCAGATACATCCCATGTCACCTCTAGTTATCTCGGACTTTTACTTCATATATTATCAACATATACATGACCATACATATACACACGAATTGCCAACCATACATCCATGCTCACAGTTATAGTTATAGCCGTCTGATCTTCATCCACTCGTTCGTGCCGAGCCCCAGGTTCAAGCCATTTCGAGCCCACCATCTACGGACTGGTCTAGGATCTCCGATGGCATCCTCAAGCGCCTCCTCGATATCACAAGTTTTATATTCCACCCTGTGCGTTCTACCATCGACCTGGTACTCCCCCCGGGCATACTGCTTCCACCACTCCAGCACATCGACGTACCCTTGCTTCGTCGGCGCGACTAACACCTGGGAGTCAAAGGACAGCTTATCCCCCTTGAGTTCCCGCCACACGTCTAGTACCGCAGTCTGTCCGTGCGCGCTAGCGATCTTGCAGACGCCCTCGCTGTGAGCTGCCGGAATCCCCGAGCTTTCCCACCAACGTAGTACTGCCGTCTGCCCATACTGAGCGGCAGTGAGGAGACTACGACCGGGTTTAAGCGGGATGTTATCGTGTTTCAGCGCGGCATCTCTCCACCATTCTAAGACAAGAAGGTGTCCTTTTGCCGAGGCCGACTCGAGCGCTGCCTCAGTATACTTAAGCATGAGGCCAGAGCGGAGCCACCAATCCAAAACGTGAACGTAACCCATACGCGAAGCGTTATCTAATGCTTCGGCGTCATATTCCTTCTTCAGAAACGAAGGAGACGTGTTCCACCAGTCGAGAATATCCGTCCGCCCGTATACTCCAGAAGCCTTATTCGGCAATAATTTGGAGCTGAAGGACGCCCAGAAGACCTTGCTGAGATGCGTTTCTAGGTAGGTGAGAACACCCGTAAGCGAAAACTTGATGATAAGTTTTACCGCCAAATAAGACACGAAGCGGAGTCCCTTTGGTGCTTCTGAGAGTTTTTGACAAATCGCTTCCGTTCCGGGACACGAGAGAATCAACCACTCGAGATCGTGTATGTATAACTCGATAGGGTCAGATAGGGCCGCACGATCAGTCCTCCATTCCGGTGGTGTCTTCAAATTCGTAAATATGTTAAGAGCCGTAGCCAACTCCCAATCGCCGACGTGTTCGAATATAATGGACCATATCTCCGGCGGTAAGGTCTTGGTGGACCGAGTGGTAGCGGTTGTATGTAAGGCCTGTTGGGTGGCAACTTCGACATCGTGTCCTAGGCTCATCAACTCGGCTTGGTTTTTTATTATGCCAACCAGGTCGTTGAATCCATCCCATGATACTGTTCGCTTATGCACACTCTGCCCCTCATAATGCCATAATACAGGGGCCATAACCTTGACCCAATTCCATTTGCGCTTGATTTTGCTCAGCTGCTTCTTCGTCATGGGATTCTCCCACATCTGCATCGACATGCCAGGTACTAGCAGAATCTTCTTAGAGACATCCCATGCTCTTAATATTTCTAGGAGGGTAGTGTCGGCGATGCCAGACATCATCTTGGCGAGGTGGTCAGCATCGATAGGGGCTAGGACGAGCAGGTCAGCCCACTCGACGAGTTCGAAGGCGGTTTGTCTGGCTGATTCTATGGCATCTCTAGTCCTCTGGTCGGCGTCGATAGCCAGCGTAGCCAAGCTCCTATTCTCCATGACAATAATATCATGAGTTAGCCGAACGGGTATCTCGTCGACCAGGGCACGGGTCTCGATCTGGGCATCCTTGAGGAGACGCACGGCAATAGCCTGAGCGTAGGCGACATCTCTTTGGCCATTTGCGGCAACCAGTAGACGTAGTCTTCTAGTTCGTGGCATTAGGTGTAACGATGAGGAGGACGAGTTTGCGGTGAGAGAAGTAGGAAAAAGACGGGGATCGAAGGCAGAGTCGGTAGAAGAATCATCGGCCATGTTGACGCATTATGACGGTGGAGTATCAGCGTCAGTAACCGGTGTCTGTGCTAATAATGGTTCGATACGCTTCGGGCACCAATGCGTTTATCGTCGGTATCGCGATAGCGTTGGTCGATATTAAGAGCGGGCGTGTAGGTACGATAGTTTCGACGGTAATCTCAATCACTCGGGTACTCGACAGCTTATCCCTGACGCTCCAGAGGCAAGGGCGGGTCGAGTATGATGACAGAAAAGTGTAAATACTACTGGTATTTAGACGTTATGGACAGCCCCACGCCAAGTCGCGATAGACGACCCTAAAGATCCGACGGGCTCGAAGAACTGGAGAACTTCCAAGTGGCGCTTTCGAATAAAGATTTGTACTAGTAAATCTCTAAAGATATAAGAGAGTATGAAATTAAATGCCGTTAGTTAAGCGAATTGAATTGAATTGTGACATTCGCACGTTACATAGATAGGTATCTATATGTAAAAGTGGTATGGGTGGCGGAAGTTGAAGCATGATATTTTCTAGTCTTAGACAAAATGTTCGTATGATCGATACATGTACATGCATGTACAATCTATTGTACGTCAAGTACGTACATGCATATGGAAGCCGAAGCGGCTGGAACTTCACTTGCTCCACCTCTGTACCTACCTCTAGGTACCTAAATCAAGACTTGATAGGTACATGTAGTGGGGTAGGCTAGCTGGTCAAACATCAATACGCAGGTACATGTCCGGATCTGTACGCACCCGTTTTATTTTTTCAAGGTATGTAAATAGCCTCAACCGTAAAAGGTCGGAGCTAAGTACGGGTCGACGGAACCCCTTATTGTCTAACTTGTCAAAGTGTTGTCCAAATTCCCATAACTAAATCTTAAACGCTTAAGAGATACCCAGGTAAATATATGCATTGCATACCTCTATAGCACACAGCTATGCAAAAATCTACAATAAAAATAAACACATCCCGACGTCACGAAGGAAACATATTACAATAAGTGATATTCCAATTCTAAGAAGAAATCCTAATTTTCCATTCCGCAATCAAGAGCGTCTCCATGTTATTCTTACTCCCGCCCTACATAGAATATGCGCGCTATGGTGTGTACCGTGCAACAAAGCATAAGCATAGGACAAACAGCTATCTGATATCCTAGCCTTAACAATTAAACCGGTATAAACAAGGGGGGATTGATAACAGTTGCGGTGGTGAATGTAGACGTGAATATAGAGGCCGCCATGTGTAAGAACCTCGTCTTCCTACGTGGTATCGAGGAAGAAGAAAAAATATGGTTAAAAAAAGAAACGTAACTCGAACGCCTTGTCGCTCGCCTGGTAGAAGTCATCATTATCAGCGCAAACCAATCACACTCATCTCAAGTGTCCACACTCTCCGAATCCACACTTTCAGAGTGCCCTCTACACCCTCCACGTCTTGAAGATCCACTCCTTCCCACCAGCAACGCCGCGCTGGCTTTCTCCAGAAGAGCAGCAACTTCTGCGCCATGCCAACAGCATTGTTTCCCATGTCGTTACCGCGTATATCGCTACGTAGTCGAGCAAGGGCCAAACTGCATACGACAGCTTTATTAGGCTCTCCAGCACGGTGGCCCCACCTGTCATCGTGGTTGAAACCGCTGTATTAATCGTTAGGAATAAGCAATTCGTAAATTAGGTTAGGACGAGACGCGAAGAAATGCCACTTACCCAGCTGTCAGCATCTCGATCAAGTGCGCCTCGGTCGTGCCGGGCTCGTCGCTTCTCTTCAGGCCCGAAAAGATCCCGTCTTGCTTGAGCAAAGCTCTAGCAGCGGCACGCTTGACCTCGATCATCTCAGCTTGATTAATGTCCGGTCGAGGGGGAATCGCATAAAAGTCAAGGTCTTCTCGCAGGACAATAATACCAGCTCGCTTGCTTCCGTCATCACCTCGGCCGCCCAACGAGTCGATGGGAACAGCACCGCCTTCCGGTGAGGCAGTAGGGGAGGCTTCATTGGGGATAGATTGGGCTACGTTCCGGAAGAAATCTAGCATGTATTGTAGAGATGCAGGATCATACTGGGAAATAAGGTCAGTGATATGTATATTTATATTGGAGACAAGATTGCGAAGTGTAGAAGCAGGAAGACATGTGTTAAGCGGCACAGTAGACGCTTCGCATGTGATATTTGAGGTAATCTGAGTGAAATGTGTAGGGGGGTTATCATTGAGTGTACTGACATCGACTTGAACGGCATCACCCTCGGAAAAGCCGCCCATATGGCCTTCAGGAAAGAGGCCGTTGGGGAATAAGGAGAGGAGGACAAATTCAGGTAGCGTCAGCAGCTCGTCTCTAGATAGTATGAAGCGCGTGCCACTACACAGAAGACTCAATTAGCATCCAATCAAAAGATAATCTAGTAAGAATGGTTTACCGTAAGTCCATGGTGATGGTTTCGTCAACGCCGACATCTATAATCCAGTTTTAATATTCCTATTCAATTCGAGGGTACTATTTCTTGCGCCTCTTACCTCCGATAGAATTGACAGGAGGACCTCCTTGCTGGACTTGAGTAATAATACTCGACGCACCACCGGCAGCCGCCATTAGATACGTAAATGAGAGTAACGGACTGTATCCTTCAGAATATGCGGGAGGCGGTTCGTTAGGATCGTCGACTTTCTGGCTCGACTCGCCCTTGACGTCCTGTGGGAGCGCCCGTTTAGTTTCTGCGACTGTGTCGTCGAACGAAGTAGACCTCTCGAGAGGGCTGTCAAACGCCGAGTCGGAGGGTGCGTAAGCTGGAGCAGCAGCAGTCGCAGATGATGCACCGGCTTCGGAAGTAGGTCCGCAAGTAGTCGGCGCAAGCTTGAAGTGGTCGTCTACGGTGTATAGACTTGAGAACGGTGGCGGAGCGGGACGAGAGGCGACTAACGAAAACGACGTGGAAGCAGAAGCTTCAGAAGTCGGGTAGGGATATTGCGGAGGAGGTGAACGTCCCCGGCTGAGATTGTCTAGATTGTCTAGATTGTCTAGATTGTCTACTTCGTCGTTCTCGAATCTCAGGTTCCCTTCGTCTTCGTCGATATTGGTCGGTGGGAGCCCGGCGGACACGGACTGTCCGTGACTTTCCTCCTGCAATTCAGACAACTTGGCGGTGTAAGCTGCGAAGTGGAAAGCTCCTTTTTTTTTTGTGAGCGGCTGTTGGCGCTGATGTTATTCACGGCCGAATGTGTTGTCGCTTTGGATTACACACGGCAGCAAGCGGGCTGATGTCTCTGTCGCATAGGGAATCAGACACTAAGTTTAGATATTAAGCATCACTTTGATGATCAAAAGTGGTCGCAATTGTACAAGATCAAAAGTGTCAAACAAGTTCAAGAACAGTAAGTTGCAATTATGAAGTTGATGATTCTAGGAATCCCAGGTTCGACTTCCTTAATTTTATTGGTACTGACAAGGCCCCCTGAAGCTGGAGTACACCGATGTATCTTAAAGCTTTGTTTGGCAGAGAAGGTACTTAGCAATCTTGGTACGACCAACAGCCTGGGGTGCCGCCTTCCATGTTTGGTCACAACATTATGACTGGTTGACTAACCGCCAATTGTTAGTCAATCCAATCAATCCAATTAGTAGAGTTATCCATAACGATGTCCAATCGATAAGGCATACCGTTATTGCATAGGTATTATATTATTGTATATCAAGCACATGTATGTCTTCTCCATCGAACAATCAAACCTGGTTCTCGAGAGATGATCTATCTAGATTACCTATCCATGAATTTTTACGATACGTTAACAGCTTTAGCCGCTAAAATGATATACATCTAGAATTACAAGCATAGGTAATTAAGTCCAGAACCACGATTAAAGAAACAGCCACCTTATTGTCTGTCTAACTCTTGCCTTAGACAATTCTACTTTCAAAGTTGTTTGATGTTTCGACATTGAACCCTAAAATATTGAAACAGTTTGTGCAACAGTCCATTTATATGTACGTTTGAAGTAAGGTACCTCAAGTTATTTATGTTGGGCCTATGAATATTTGTAGGAGGCGGCCAACATGTCCAATGTTATAGCCCTTACATATGTGTATCCAACACATCGATGGGTAAGAGATGCAGATGCACGGGTGTGGATATCTAGGTGCTGTTTAACAAATACGAGGTTCCAATAATAGAATAAGTATAGAGAATATTTTGATAATTAATGTTGATAGATTGTAGTTGTCTTAGTCTGAGTTATACAACAACTGGTAGCAAATAGAAGCATATCCTCCTTTCTCAGCTCGAATATAGCGAATATCATGAAATACCTAAGGATCGAAGGAAAATAAAGAATTACATGCACATCCTTAACAACAAGTCATAGTATCACACCCGTGAAATAGAACTCGTATTACCATCTCTACAACTGTTGTGAGATATCACGTTTATTTCTTAAGTTTTAGGACCGCCGCAGGGGGCAAGTAGACCTGCTTTTTGGTGACCAACAGTCCTGTCAAATCAATGCCTCTTCTACATATGAACGCCGGGCTTCATGACAATCATCCTCGACCCGTCCCCGTAATCGATCCCTTCATCTACTAGGCCTAGATCCTCATTCCTCCATCGTCTTGACACATTCCCACTCGCCTCGCAAGTTCTCCTTCCATAACGAAACTTTATTGTCGCCGCCGCTAACGGCCAATACGTTCCCGCTAAGGCTCCAGCTGACGCGCCATACCTCCGCGTCAAAGTTCAACACCTTAGACGACCACTGGCCCTGGCTAGCATTATCGCTCGTCCAGATTCGTACCGTCTTGTCTTGTGATGCCGATGCAATATAGCTCTTCTGTAGTACCGTCGGGCTCCATGCCACATCTCGTACCCAATCTGTGTGCCCTGCCAATGGCTCCCGCTCCTGCTTGTATCCTTGCGTGGCAGGGTCGTAGGCCCACAGCTTAAGCACATTGTCACAACCTCCCGTAACGAAACGGCGCTGGCCAAGAGCACCCGGGCCTGGGGGTGCAGAAGAGATGATGCTACCAGGCGTTGTGGCAGGTGCCCAGGAAACCGAGTTGACACCAAGGCCGTGTGCCGGGAACGAGACGTGGGAGAAGTTGTTGTCCTTAAACTCGAGCACGGACACGTTTCCGTCAGACGACGCGCACGCCAGAAGACAGCCCGATTCGTGCGGTGACCATGCGACCATGTTCACCGAGGCCTTGTGGAGAGCAAAGTCGAAGATTCTTTGCCATTGGTTCGATTGTTCGCGCCAGATAAATACCTTGCCATCGTAGCCTGCCGAGGCGAGGATGTTGCCGTACTTAGGGTGCGCCCACGAAACACACCACACTGCGCCTTCGTGACTATACCCATGATTGTTAGGGGTGTTGTTGCTTTGATAGGGAGAAACAGTCCATACCCTTTCAACGTCTCAGTCAGCCGTTGAGATTCGCCTTCGATCTCGAATATCTTGATCGTCTTGTCCGAGGAACATGTTGCAAGCCGTCGGCCATAGTAGTCGAGGACAGCATCATGCTAAAGGATGTTAGCGAAAGCTTTGGTGTAGCCGCAATGGATGTTGGAGGTGGAGCTATCGTATCAAGTGGAATCGAAGCGTGGTATGGGTTTCGCTCGGTGTTTTACATACAATCATGTCATCGTGGCCAGAGTTGGTTATTACTTGCGCCTGTAGTAGAGCAAATGTCAGTAAGTCACAGACTAACAGCTATAGATTTAACTAGCCAACATACCATCTTGAGAAAAGGATATAAAGAGATAGCTTGTAGGGGATATAAAGCTCGGGACTCGACCAAGGAAAGTCGTGTTGTTATCTGATTTAGTTCTTGATAGGGTCACCTTGGCTTGGATGTTCAAGCTGTCAAGTCGCCTGTACCTTCAACTTGGCAGCTGAGGTAAACAAGTTCCAAAGCTCCACTGAAGTTCACCAAGTGTACACTATGTACAATTCGTACACCAAAGATCAATGGCATGCATTCAATGTTGAATGTTACTGGTTGGTGGAACAGTCCAGATTTCATTAAGCTGAGCTCCACTTCAGGGCTTTTTCGGATTAATATTTTTCAATGGCATACGGATTAGAACAAGGGGCGCGGCAAGGTTCCACTGGCATGCACATGGCGGGGTCCTGTGGGGATTTTGTTTCTATGTACATACCTAGGTACGTACCTGCGTTAGTAAGGAATCTTGAGCCGATAAGAGAAGAATTGACATCATGGTTGGCCGGTCGGTATATTGAACCGTGTCTGCCGAGGCTAAAGCTTACATCGCAAAGGAACTCCGAACGGTACCTTTCCTCGTGATGATGCTGATTTGAATTACTTCAAATCCAACATATGCAATTCGTGAGAAGGGTTGTCATTATTTCTTCAACTTCTTCCCTTCCCCGACATGTATTATTAGTATTATTAGTATACCTGCGCACCTACCTAGGTACCTATCTTGTGTACCTTCCCTAATAACCTGACTCAGTACATGTAACCTAGGATATCAAGGTTCTGTCCAACTCAGAACGTCATTTTCGTCGGTTCCTTTGTCTACCTGGCAAACATCTTTTAGGTCACCACCACCACTTTCAAGTTTCACGCACACAACACAACACACACATAATACACACCCTGAAATATTCGCCAATTTCTCAACTCTCTTCTTTCCTCAGCTAAACTCGACCTTCATTCAAAAAGTTAGCGACCAGCCGAGTACCATACCCTCAACGACAACTAAACCTCCATATCGCATCGCCACTTTGTACTAGTCCATCAGAATGGCGGACAATCTCTGCGGTCCTTCGACCGCTCCCAAATCACTATCCCGACACTTTGAACAGGACCGTTCTCTACAGCAAGACCGATTCGCTTCTTCTGCCGGACCCTCCAGCGGCGTTCACGATGCGACACAGGTTAGTGTTCATCTCAGTTTAGCTGATTCAATGTCTTCTTCTAACACTATCACAGCGCTTTCGCAGCCTTAACTTAGGCGACAACAGATTCACGTCGGATTTCTCAGGATTTCAAAATGCATCCTTTATGGATATCTCCCCTGACGTTAGAAATTGGAATCACAATCACCAATTAGTCCCTTACCCATCCTTTGCTAACGACGATGCCTTCTCCCCCATCGATCGCGTCAACCCTTCAACGCGCCCTAGAGTTGCCCCCGAGCGCTTCAATACCTCCTCCCGAACTAGCGCTACCGCCGCCACCATCCCCACCATACCCATCATGTCTACTCCTGTAGGCCCTTCCACGACGACTCATTTCCCAAACCTCGTCGCTCAACGTCGTACAGACTGGGCCAACGAGTTCAACCAGAGGATGGCCCGTCGCGATTTCAGTCAGATGAATCAAAGCTTCGGTCCTCCTGGACAGGCATTCAGACCTATGAACGCCTATGGTGAAAACATGTTGCGGCAGGATATGGCCATCCGCCCTAACCAGGTCCCCGGCCCCAAAGACGATCTCGACTTCGACGCCGAGCTACGTGCCTGGGCTGCTGCCAATAGTCCTGAGACGCAAGCTCAAGCTAACGCGTGGCTTCATGTTGAGGACACCTCTGCAGGCGGCCGTGTTCGCGCCACACAGGCTACTACACAGTCGACTGATTCTCATCAACTTACCATGCAGAATCTGACTACCCTCGAGCAAGAGACCGTTACGGTAGTCGAGCACCCCTCGAGCGGTTTGGCCGAATCCACAACTGAGACGGAGGAGATGGCTCAGTCTCGAGGCAAAGAGGATTCGGAACTGGCCATGGCCGCGCAGCAGATCCTAGATTCTGTCTCGGGGAACAAGTCTGATAAGTTCAAGAACTCTGGCTTCATTCAGATGATGCAGAAGATTGCGGCGCAGGAGCTGGTCGTTCGGGATAACAACTTGGTTGAATTTCCCCAAACGACTGCCAACTAAATTGATATTGATTGCTAATACTGACACCGAGGCGCCGTCACTGAAAGAGGTGGCGTTGAAGCCCGTTGCTGTCGAAGACTCATTTTTATGAGTAGGGCTAGGACTGATTAAGGAGCGAGATGCTTTACAGGCACGCGTTGATTTTTACTAGTATGTAGAAATAACATACATCATGATACCCTACAGTGCTGTGTTCTATTACCGGCTGTGCATGTTTCTTTATTGCGAGTCGTAATTCATAATCTCCTATAATAAGCAAGCTCTATGTGGATATTGCCTATAGGTCTGTCTGTACTTCTCACCCCTTTTAGCTGACGCCATGCTATGTACGAGCCGGGTTTACTTAATTCCAAACAATATTGCCCCTATGCTTAAGGGAGAAACTTGTCTATAACATATTTAAATATCACTTTTGTGCTACCGATGCTCACGAACCGTAGTACTCGGAATAATGGAACGGGAAAGCAGGCGTTGACGCCAGCCCGAGATCCCGACATCACGAATAAGGGGTAAATATAATCCCCGTATAACCCGCTCACCCCCTCCCCCCCATTGTAGAGGATAATGGCCAAACAAAAAAATCGCAAGAGAAGCCATACCAATAAAAAGGGCGGCTGTGCTCATAATAAGATTCCAATAAAAGAGCACATGTCAACCCGGATCGCAGCCTTGCGTCGTATCCGTATCGACTGCTCCGGGTCCGACCGTGCCGCGACGGTTCACATACGCCTACGAGACAAGGGAACCAATGCGGAGCCCGCGGACCACACCGGCGGTAAGGCGACCACCCAAAATTCAAATCCAATATTCGCCATGCGGCTGCGGGTGTCCTAAGGCGGCTATCTTACGTTTCCCATCCCCCGGTTAGTTGCCGTGATTCCTGCAGGCGGCTTACGTGAACACTGGAGAAGAAAACAGAATGAATGCTGGGTAGTTACCTACCTATGTATGGTATGTATTTCGGGGTCGGACTTACGGGAGTTGAATGCATGTATGTCGGTGTTGCATACATATACTTATATGCACAAGATCTATTATAGGTACATACCTCTGCTTGGTATGATGTTCAAGGGGTTATGAGCGGCTGACGAGAGCCGCTACGTAATATGGACGGCGCGTGAAGCGGCCCATAAGGCGTAAGGTAGCCGATACATATCGAGCATTTCCACGGACGTAGGCCATAACGTAGTAGGTAATATACAATGCCTTCGTAACCCGATATTGGTAGGCCCATAAGCACGGATGAATTCGTAGAGCACTAACGCGGCTCCGCGCGCCTTGTGGTATTAGATCGGAACTCTGCCTAATATGTAGAGAGGCGACGTGGCCTCGTTGAAGAACCCATCTTGGTTTGGCGTTGTGACGAGTGAACCAAGAATTAGGAACGAAAGGGAAGACCTGTGTAGTGTATGCAGGACTGGGGGTCCTACATAGGGCTGATAAGGCGTGCCGTGTCGGCCTGGGAAAGATGCGGATACGGTCCTTTTTCTCCTGTGATGTCGTGAAATGTCTCAAACATGTGGATTACCAATGGTTTTATCTCATTTGATATTCGGAATGCATATCATATGTAATAGAAACGGGTCCTCGAGGAACCGGAAAGCAACGGCGTAAAAGACTGCGCCCTGCGTCTTGTAGAAAAGATGGAAACGCACAAACGCATCTCAGCCTGCTATCCACCGATATGCAACCCTACTGTGGATTAGGATTACCTGCAGGACAGGGTCTCTAAAGTAGGCAATCTTGGTGAGATTTCCGTAAGACACTGATTTATACGAATCTCTCCGTTTTCATTCCTTTGCCTCAGCATATTCGTATGTCGGCTCTCCGTGCCGTGAAACACAATACAGCCACTTTCGATACGTATTAGGTGCGGTTAGAGAACGAAAAGAAGGCAGGGCATGGCGAGAACTACCCTTACCGAATAATCTGTGTGCCACTATTATGTACGATAGAGATTATGATAGTCGACAGTGTAGTCTATGTGTAGTCTGTATGTAGTCGAATGCACGGAGAGTCAAGCGTGAAATCGAATATGAGTCATAATCCGAACGGCAGGGCTAAGAAACACTGAAACTGCAACTATGCGTTGGAATTGGTTGATCCGATTGCTTGAAATGCTCCTGTCGCTGATCTATTACCCATGTCGCTAATCCATGGCCTATCCGAATTGAGATTCGATTCCGCCAGAGACAGAGCGCGGGGAGCTTTTGTCCTTTTTGCAACGCCCCATGAACACTGTGGGGTTGAAAAGATGCGAGATTGGAATGGATGGATATTTTAATTTTTCGATGCAACCCGCGTTGCACACGCGTCTGCGAATCCTCAAGTATACGAAGTACGCAATTGAGTTGACAACTGCGCACATGCGAAAAACGTACCTAACAATGGATCTGCGACGTCATGTAAATCTATACATGTATCATCAAGCATCAACCATATATTGGTTCTTAAATCTCCTGCAACTGCATCGATGGATCATCGTCAGTGGAGCCAGTGAGTGAGATAATAATTTTTGAAAGTGAGAAAAAAAAGGTTAGCGGAGACAAGAATAAGCGAATTGATCAGCATAACAACCGTTCAATGAAAAGCTGACCATCCAAGACTTTAAAAGAAGAATACGGTATCATATAGTTACTGCGAGTAGTGTACCGTATATGATAGATTAATAATGAACAATCGTAAAATCGAGTTCGAGACCGAAGGACGCCCGACTTGTACATATGTACTGGCAGAATTTAAAGACTCGTAATTGTATGTAATGTAGCTAAGCGTTTAGCTCGATGTCGCATCCAATATCTCCATTCCAGGCCCATTTAAATGTTCCATCTAATATGGATACGTGCGCACTACAACGTTTGTAAAGCGGGTTTCTCGAGGCATTTTGTCGTTGCTGAATATCACGAGGAGGAGAATCTCTGCTTCCTATGGACAAGAAGACTTAGAAGACCTTTCCTCATTTAGCTGGCCGACGACCAAAGAGCCAATAGAATTTATTTGCGACATGTAGGAGCGAACAGACAATAATAGGAATATCGTAATCCGTCACAAGCCTTGGCTTTAAATGGTTTAGAGTCTTGGCGATGCAGCCCCCAGAAACCGGCAGGACGGACAGAGAGATCGACGGTTTTGATTGAAACGGTGTTAGCATATTTCAAGTCCGCAATAGCTGGAAACTAGGTATTCGCGGTGATAAGACGACTTTTGCGACGATCGGACTTTTTTTCTTCGTCAAGTTGCATATACATATCGACGTATATTCTCGGATTGCGCGCGCCACTACGACGCTGTAGCTAGAAATAAGGACCTACTTCAAACATACGTACGTTATGTAGAGAAAGTCTAGATTCGCAAAGTATTGCATTAGGTACTTTCTGCTGCATAATACCGTTGCGTCCGTTGCGAATTAGTGCTTTTTTCTTTTTCTTTTTTTTAATTCCACATAAACTTCCATCAGTTGCGACAAGGTTCGTATCTACGGAACAGACTAAAAAATAATTACAGCAGGAAATACGGAAGAAGGCTGTGCGCTAGTTGAAGGAGGAGCATTAGGAGGCAGGGGTCGTTAGTGTAGAACGGAACTGTGGATCCATCAAGTATGAGTCACACGCTCTCAAGCGAACGTATTTTGTTCTTTCCTAACTGAACATGTGTTTCATCCATCAAGCTTGCCCTAGAAGTCGCTTCAAAGTGCAATCAAAATTGTTAGTGGTTAACAAGTAACTGTCAGACCTACATAACTAGCCGCACCCGGGTATCCTTGTCTCCAGAAATATACCCACGCGTACGCCTAACAACCTTAGTAACGCTAAGGCCCCCCCTGCGCCCCTCCCCGTTTCTTGCCAAAGTTACAAAGTTGCAAAGTTGCGAAGTTGCGAGGCACGGGTTTTTGTCTTTTGGCTTTGGCTCTTGGCGAAGGGATTGTTGCCTGAAAAATTACTAAAGTCTCACCTCTCCCACCGAAATTCAGGCACGAACCTTTTTTTTCTTTCTCCCCTCTTCTTATCCTCCATACAATTACAGAACCATATCATAAGCAGACATCAGAGCATTCATCAAGATGCGCTAAACAAACCAGACCTCGTGTCTTTTCTCTTTCTCATGTGCTCCCCGTAGCAACAGTCAAAATTCAGTCTCCAAGGAATAACAATCATCTCCCCACTCAACCCTTCTTCTCAGCTCTCCCTTTCCAGGAAGAACTGAACTCATACGAAGCTATTCACAGCTCTCCGAGTTCCCTCACCACCGCCAACATTCCCCAGCAAGACTCTTTAGTCTTCACCACGGATTCTCAACAGCAAACATGGCTTCCCTCCAGTTCCCCGAGCCTGCCGGCACAATCCGCGCAATCCAACTTCCCACCACCGCAACAGGACTTTGTCTTGTTCGATCAACCTCCGCCTCAGAGACAGAACGTTAACCGATCTGTATCCTCGCCTGCCTCAGTAGCAGTATCAGCCTTTGGATCTCTCAACGTCAACCCTAGCCGCTCTCCGCATATCACAAACGGTTCTTCACCTTCAATACAGAATCAGCGAGTGGCTCAGATTATCCGGGCAACAGGACATCAGACTTCTTCCTCTACGGCATTTACCAATCGGTTTAATCCTTCTATACAAAATCAGAACCTACAACAGTATTACGCATCAATTTCTGCTTTACCCTCTGCCGCTGCGGCGAACCAAAATCGTGCTGCTCGCCCACCTGTACCTCTTTTCACGCAGGGCGGCGGTAATCAGCAGGCGGCCAGGATGGATCTTCAAGGTAATTACTCAACCTCTTTCTCTAATTGCATCCCTATCTTACACAACCCAGACGCCCTTAGTCTTGAGGACCTCACGGCCTTCCAGGGGCCAACAACTGCCTACTCTTCCCCTGGAATTCCCGGCTACGACGTGAGTGTGAGCTCTGCCTCTAGCACTGCTAGCAACATGGGCACCATTTCACCCCAAGACTTGTTCCTCGACCCCACCACGTCTGCCCCGAACTCCACCGCGATCACGAACTTGACGTCACCTTCCATATATGACGGGTCTCCTGAGCTTCAAGATTATGATTTTGAACTGTCCCCGAATATTGGTGGTAACAACGATTTCGACCATGGCTTTAGTAGGGCATGGCCTTCTTTGTTTCCCGAGGATAACCCAGTTGTCAATGCTGCCTCTACCGCTGACGAATTGTCACCGGCACAGCAGTCTGATGAGCAAGAGGCGGCGGAACCCGCTTCTAAACCTCGTCGCAAATCTGGTAACTCCCCGTCGTCCGGGAATCATGGCAGACACTCTTCAGTCTCTGGTGTGAACCCTCGTCGTCGAGACAAACCACTTCCTCCTATCATAGTTGATGATCCGAGCGATTCGGTTGCCATGAAGCGAGCGCGAAACACACTGGCAGCTCGTAAGTCTCGTGAACGTAAAGCGATACGATTTGAGGAACTTGAAGCGAAGATTGCTGGTCTTGAGAAAGAGCGTGATTTTTGGAAGAGGAGATGCGAAGCACTAGAATCTCAAACTGGTTAATATTGGTAACGTTATGGGATGTGTGTTGCACGAAACGAACTGGAGGGTAGCCCAATGATGGCGACCCATCCACTTTCAGCGAGGCAGCAGTACCAAGTTGGTACTATCGGCGCAATCAGATAAGACGCCATCTGCCGTGGGTATATAGTATAGAGAGTTCTTACGTGTCGTTTCCAAGCATATTTTTGGGGTTCCCGCAGCTGAGGAACGAATTAAAACAGGTGGCCGGTATTTCCTAGTGTCTGTTTTCAATAGTCAAATAGTCTCCGCCACTTCCCATTGGGTCTTTTTGGGCCAGATATCAATACAACGAGTTCAGTGTATATGTTCGTCATGTCCTTTCGAATGAAGTTAACCAACTCGTTCCGTACCATCGTGATTCGTTCCACGTCATATTAATCTGAGTATCGATCGATCTAAGATCACAGGTAACGTTTCCTAGACTTCGGTTGCTTATTTTATACTTGTATGCCCAGGTGTAGTGTTTGCTTGCTTGCGTCTGCCCTCCGGGCGGGTTGTTGTGTAGTTTTCTTGTGGAAACGGAAGCAAAATAAGTCCAGCTTGGTCTATACCATGTAGGTATGTATCTGCTACATGCATGGCTCACGTAGATTCATTCGCTTCCATGAACAGTTTGTGACTAGCAATCGTCTGAACAGTTTATTTGCTTCCTTTTGCTCTATTCCGCAGTCATGCTGCCGGTTTGTAACTGGGTTTGCTAAGATAGGCTGAAATATACTACATGTAGGTACAGTTAGAGGGGGTTAAAGAGACGGTCGTTTTAGGAGTTCTCTATTGTGATTATATATATATGATATGCGTATCATTTATATTGCTAGTCACGGCACTATGTCTGTGGCCCTTTTATACCTTATCGGCGCGAGACACTTCTGGGTTAAAACATTCTAGCCAGCAAGTAGTGAGGCAGCAGGTAGATGATCTAGACTCCTTGGTGACGTTTTGAGACACTTTAGCTTGTGTCGAGTCTAGTGTCTTAGGAACAGCCAGTGTATACCTATATAGTTCATCTATAGTTATGTGAAAGACACTACATAGGTAGCTTTGGTTTATTTATATAGAGAATTGGTCATATACAAATTTAAATAGTGAGGTCACTGTAGATGACCATACTCTTTCTTAGGCGGTCTCCTAGTATAAATATATGCCAGTGGCGTCAATATTGGAGAAAGTTCCTAGTTATTGTTCAGTAATTCCAGGTATGGCACTCGGGAGCATCATATATATATTAACCCCCTCCCCCCTAGGATGCTTGACATATTGCACTTGACCCCTATGCCATAAGATAACTCCATTGATATATATACAACATAACTACCCTATGTCAATGTTATCAGCAAAAGAGGCGTCTAGAGTTTTTTAGGGGGAAGTGACTGGAAAAGATGGCGTTGCGGCTACAAAATTATTTTCTGGACCAGAGACCCCTTTAGATATCACAGAATCAGTTGAAGGACTAAACTTTTCCTTCTAAAAACAGTAGATAAGAACCATCGTATTATACATTGTGTACGGTTTCAGAAAAGCCAGAAGGCAAGCTATAAAAAGGATAGGATAGATATTATTCTATTTCTCATCCGGAAGCGGATAGGGCGACAAATGTTGTTGAAATAATTTAGAAGGAAAAAGAAAAAGTAATAAAACAACAAAAAGACAAAAAAAGGCCCCAAAGGTCCAACCCCAGCGCATTTGAACTATAGCAAGAAGGCCCCCATCTCGCCGCCCTGCGCCGTGCTCGAACCCGGAAACGCCATCGAAAAACCCGGCGGGCGGGTTTTATCTACAACCGTCATACCTAGACAACCACTAAGCCACGGCCTCGTTGGGTTGCGTATCTAAAGGTCAGGAGTGATAGTGCGGTTTGTTAATTGGTCTTTTAAGGCTGCTGCGGGTTGCTTGGGGAAATGCGTTACTGGTGCGTACAGGTGTAGGTGGTTGCCTGGCGACGGCGAGGTTGGTGAGGGGCGTGTTTAGGTGGGCTTGGGGGTTTTGGCTGCTGCGGTGAAGTGGAGGCAGAGATGTGACGAGAGGAATACATGGGATGCTGCTAGTATTACACTCTCATCTCTAGATGTAAAATACTTCTAAGCTTCACCCTTCGTAGTTTAGATACCATATATTCGAGTAAACAGATGACCTTATTGCTGTTTTGTACTTCTATACTTCTCCGTGATTCCTACCTTGTTTCGATATCTCAGACTAGGTGACGAATATCGTTTTGTCTAAATCATAATGTTTTTGTGGTTTACAGTTAGGAACACTCTTCCTAACCATAAAGACTACCTACATATACCTGCAAGTGGACAGACGACTACACCACGATCATCTCAGAATCGCTAATGACACATGGAATACCAATAGTTAAGCACACAATCGATATTTCAACATCTCAATCATATCTTATTCACATATACCTAGGTATCTATTTAACCTATACCCCCTACATAACCCCCCCTATCCTATTCAACAACCCCCTAATGCGCCTTAACCACACCAGCCGCATCCGCCTGCGCCGCAATCCTCTTCTTATACGCCTGGACATCACCCGGGAACTTCCAAACCGTCCCATTCTCACAAACCCACAAGCTCGTACACACAGTCTGCAACATGGTCACGTCGTGAGAAACCATGAGCACGCCTCCTTGGAACTCGCGCAGCGCCTCGGACAAGGCATCCATAGCTTCGATATCCAAATGATTGGACGGTTCGTCGAGAACCAAGATATGCGGCTGCGTGAGGGCCAAACACGCGAACGCAACCCTGGACTTCTGACCTCCGGAGAGGACTTCCATCTTCTGCAGGCCGGTTGTGCCCGTAATACCGAACGCGCCGAGTGTCCGGCGGTACTCCTCGTCCGTGCGACCGGGGTATTCTTTGGACATGAAGCTGACGGCGCTCACGGTGAGGTCGAGCGCGTCGACGTGGTGCTGCGCGAAGAAACCGATGCGCAGGCGCGAGTTTTGCTGGATGAGACCCTTGGTTGCCGATAACTTGCCAATAAGCAACTTTAGGATGGTAGTTTTACCCGCACCGTTGGGTCCAACAATACCGATACGTGAGTCCAGTTGCACATCCAAGTCCACGTTTCGTAGTAGGATCTTGTCTTCGCTGTACCCGAACGTGACCCCTGACATTTGCACGATTGGCGGCGAAAGCTTCTCCACCTCTGGGAACCGGAACTTGACACTGTATTCTGTCTCTGGCGGTTCGAGAATAGGCATACGCTCCAGCTTCTTGATACGCGACTGTGCTTCGGCAGCCTTGCCAGCGTTGTATCGGAACTTGTCGATGAAGGCCTGTAGATGGGCGCGCTGCGCCACGTTGTTTTCGTACTCTCGCTTTGCGGTCTTTTTGCGCTCCTCTCGGGTGGCGTAGAAGGATTCGAAGTTGGCTCCCCTGTAGTAATCGAGCCTCATCGAGTGCTGGTGTATAATATCTGTCGCGACTTCGTTTAGGAAAGCTCTGTCGTGACTGACTACCAAGACAGTGCTCGGGTATGTGAGTAGGTAGTTAGAAAGGAAAGTAATCGAGGGGACGTCCAACATGTTGGACGGTTCGTCGAGAAGTAATAGATCAGGCTCGCAGAAAAGGGCTCTGGCAAGGGCCAGACGCATACGCCAACCACCGGAGAACGTCTTAGTTGCGAACTGCTGGCGTTCAGCGGAGAAGCCCAGACCGGCTAGGATACTAGCAGCTCTGGACTCTGCCTTGTCTGACTCCATCTCGGCCAACTTGGCCTGGATTTCTCCCAACTTCTGGTCAAGCGCTTCTCGGTCAAGGTCCAGCTTCGCAGCATCTGCGGCGGTATCTGCCATAGACGATCGCTGTGACTCGATTTCGGCAAGACGAGCTGTTATCTCCTAGAAACAAAACATGAGCGACTGCTATTAGAGTCATGGAAGGGACAACGTACTGTTTGCTCTTTGAGCAACACCTTTCGCCAAACGTCGGCATCCAAGACGGCCTGTAAGGCGGATGTGTCATCACCGGTGATCTGGCGTATATTAGCATATAGGACGTATTATTATTTAGCTGGAATGAGTGACATACCTCTTGTTCGACGTGGAGAATAGAAATATGCGTAGGCACTGGTAACTCTCGTCTTGAGAGCGCTCTGAGCAGCGTGGATTTACCAACACCGTTGTGACCAACCAAACCGTAACGGTGCCCGTATGCCAGTGTTAAGTCCGTATCCGCCAAGATACGGGTACCACCAATGCCGACATCGATGTTTTCAATTTTGATATCCTTCGTTTTGCCGGCACCGTTGCCAGAACCAAGCTGTAAGGGGTTGACAGCCATGTAGAACTCCTCATAGCTCTGAGCATCTTCGGCTTGGTTGATCAGTTTAGATGCTTCATACTCAACCGTCTTGAACTGCTTCTTGCTCTGCTTGGCGGCGATTTTGCGCTCTGCCTTCTCAAGCTTCTTCCGGTCAACCTTAGACTCCACCTTACGAGCGTTGGCAGATTCAAGGTCGACACTCCCGGTAGCCACAGCTAGAGTCGAGGACATGTTTCGCTGAGCACCGACCTGGATGGCCTGGTCTAACCGCCTCACGGCGGACGGTCCCCGTCTCTCACCATTGCTGCTGTTGACTTCCTCATACTTGTCAACCCACTTAGAGACGATGGATCGAATCTTGTCCTGGTTGGACCCAGCCGAATCACCGGAAGCGGACAAAAGGAGCTCAGTGATAGCAGCAGCGGCCTCGGCTAGCGGAGACAGACCAGAGGATTCCTCGTCGCCGACCCACGCGGTGGATGCATGTCTAAGATAGCCTACCGAATATTCGGAGACAACGGGATCGATATCCGGAATGGCGGCTCTGATATCGGCCTCCATTTTGGGGGACGGGATGGAACGGGAAATTAGCGTGGAGGATTTATCGAGGAATTATCGATCCCAGCAAATGGTAGTCCTTGGGACTTGTCGAAACGGGACTCAATTTGCGAAGACCTCAGCCTGGTTCGTTGCCCCCCTGGTTGTAAGATTTAATTTCCAAGGTACGGAATGTATCTAGTGTAGTTGCGGATGTTCCTTTTGCTGCCCCGAGCGGTAGTCACGGATTGAAAGCTTGGACTATGGCGATCTATATGAAAGATAGGCACAATTAGAATAGGCACAATTATCACAAAATGAAGTCTGAAATGTTATGGATTAAGAAAGAGTGGGACCAGATATAGCGACACAGTAAGCAAATAGTCATCTAAATATTAATAACACTGTACCAAGTATATCGTTTACATAAATAATTCATGCCCCTTATGTAATTAATTTGAATCGGTTTATCCTCGGTCTATTGACG